GCACAGACATACATAATACATACATGTTTCAACATTGACAGTACACATATACATAGATATACATGTAAAACACATATACACATAAACAAAGTGGCACAAAACACAATCATCCACATAGATATGCTACAGCATTTGCACATACACATTTACAGACATTTACTTACACACAGACAAATTTCAACATATATACATGCATATGCACACACACAGACACATACATGCATGCATGCATGCATGCATGCATCCATCCATCCATCCATCCATAGATACATACATACATACATACAAACAAATGAACAAACAAACGAACAAACAAACAAACATACATACATACATACATACAAACATACATACATACATACATACAAAGATACAAAGATACATACAAAGATACATACATTTTTTGACACAAAAGAAATAGGTACAACTATAATGTAGTTGTACCTATTTATTTTGCGTTCAAACCATGCATGCATGCATGCATACATACATACATACATACACACATACATACATTTACACATATATACATACATACATACATACATACATACGTACATACATACATACATACCTGCGTACATACGGACGTACATACATACCATATGTACGACATATATATTATGTATTTATATAAAAAGAAATATATGCCTAGCTGCCTGGCCGGCTCAGGATTTCCTTCCAAGATGATATCGAGGAAGCTACCAAAACCGTGTTCAAGGCTATCGGGGCTGAGGCTCAGGATTAGAAAGAGTTCTGGTACTCAAATATGTCCTGCCACCTGGGCAGTCTACTTAGTATACTTTGCGCACATGATGGGCTTTTGGGGAGGATCATGTTGATCTGTCCGAGGGAGTGCCGAATGCTTGATTCCTGCGTTAGTGGTACCAACCATGTGTTTCAAACATGTTAGACTATTAGAATCTTGAAGATGGATTCAGTGGTGTTCTGGGGGGTCAAGCAGCTGGCTGATGTTTATGGGCTAAAAGCCTCCAACAGTTTCGGGGAAGCAATTTCAAGATTGCGGCGAGGAAAAAATGAGTTCTCCTTACTGAATCATTTCCAAATTGTAGAATCAAACCAATGGAATTGTACATCTGCCATCCTAAGGAATCACATGGTTGGCCGCTGTATGGCATGTCTGATGATGATGTGCTCCCTCGGCCTACCATTCATACTGGAGCAGCCGAGTACAAGTGTGATGGAATACCACCCATGTTTCCAATTTCTGGCACAACGCTTCAAGATATATCGAGCAACTTTGGCTTAAAATAACTAAACAGGAACTGTTTCTGTTCAAAGATCTGATCTACTGTAATGTATTTTGATTTGCCCTCGCTCTCCAATTTGCCCAGGGGAAACCAAATTGAGGTATTTATTTGGATGGGAAGTTATGGAGGTTGCAGCCACTTGGTAGAACTGAGGGTTCCGGCTTGGTGGTTGTCCAGCATGGCAGTTTCGGCCTCATTCGGATGTGAACATGAGCACTGCTACCCACTATAGGTCCGAAGGGGACATGGCTCTATAGCAATGTCGAAGCTTTGATCAAAGACCTATACTTGCCACTTTGCGACAAGAAATGGGGAGCAAAGATGGTGCGAAGGCCTGTTGAATTTGGCACACTAACACATAACAGTACCAAGATGTCACAACCATACCAATTGGTATAACCCCATACCATCTCTTATGCAGGTATCAGGATGGAAGTGGAGTAAATCGAGTGTGTGGAGATGCTGACCTGAAGCGAAGCCAGCACTACCCAGTTCTCTTTGGCCGTACCATTGCTGAAACCTACATGCGAGAATGTTCTCAAATCAAAGCATCGGGATATATGCTCAGGCCAGATAAACCCAGTTCAGTTGTGTCTTCTTGGGGGCCTAAAAATAATTATATAGGTACATACGTATAGAATCTGTAAATTTATGTTATGTACTATATATATATATGTAATTGTAATGTGATATATATATATATATACGTATGTTATGTTAAAAACATATATATCGTATATGCTATATGTATTTAATATGAATATATATATACATATATATACATACATATATATATATATTTATTTACATATATATATATATATGTAATCACTGGGCCACCCTGCGCCAGGACCAATCTGCTTGACAACCCCAAAAAGGAGATGCGAGACACCTGGCAGCAATTTGTTAGATTCACGGTTCACGGTTTCACGGGTTCACGATTTCACGGGCTCACAAGTCCCAATTCACGTATCATATGGCTATATATACTGAAGTATAGTCTTAAAAAAAAACCATTGAGCTCGATCGATCCATCATCTTAAGATTTGACAGCCCTAGGATATTGGATGGGTGAAGCATGCGAACCTGCGCCCAGTGTTCGCTTCGCTATGTGAAATCTGAGGAGTACATAGCCCGGTGAAACAACTGTTTTGCAGCAGTTGATGATGCACCATGCATCATTTGCCAAATTTGAACAAATTGGAAATTCCCAGCACAACCCGTGAACCGTGAAAAAACCGTGAAAACCCCGTGAAATCCCGTGATATTTCATGGGTTATGAACCTAGCTATTTTTGAGTGGTTTTGGGGTGTGCTGGCCCGTTGCCAACCGTACTTTCAGGGGGTTGAACCAGTCAAAAATGGATTTCAGCTTAAAGTTTGCATGTGATGAGCAGCAGTTCTGCAAACAATTGTGTACTGTATGAGTTGAGTTGTGATTTGATCCCATGAGACTACATTTTTACATCATTTTACATTGTATCTAATGCAGTCATTCGGCTTTAGCTTCGCGATAAAGGGCTACAATGGCTCCTGATAAGAGACTTAGAGGGAAAACACCAGACCCTGCCCGGAGGCATAAGAGCCCCGATGCAAAGGCTTTGCGGAAAGCAGAGCTACATGTGAAGTCAAAGAAACCCAGTGGGGGGTCTGCTGAATCGGCATCAAAAGAAACTACCCGGAGGGCATTGACCTTTGATGAAACCCCTAAGGTGCATAGTATTGTTGCCGAACATGATGCAGGAGACCGCCGCCCAGGTAATTCGGTGGCCAAGCCTGAGCCCAGGAAAAAAGCCAAAGGTGATCGCATGAGCTCTTCCGAAGCTGACAAGATCCTGGCAAAGTTCGTGAAAGACCAGGATACATGGTGACCATGGGTGAAGAAAAGTTGGGTGGGTGTGTTTATAATTGTTTGTATATAGGTAACGTACCCAAATCTCATTATCCACATGATCCAACATATGTATTTACATATATATATATATGAAAAACACATGTGATCATATTAAAGTTTGTGACCCCAACTTCTTGTGTGCACAGGAGGCCAAAGATGCTGCAGCTTCTGCATCGGAGAGTGAAGGTTCTCAGGCTCCCTATTTCATATACCGGGGCAGCTGTTCATACAAGCAAATATATGATCAATAAATATATATATATAAATATCAATAGATATTATCAATATATATATATATATATTACCAATATTTTCATCATGTTATATATTTATATACAGTATATGCATGTGTTTGTATATACAGACACAGACATGTATGTATGTATGTATGTCTGTCTGTATGTATGTATGTATGTGTGTATGTATGTATGTATGCATGTATGTCTGTATGTATGTATGTATGTATGCATGTATGTATGTATGTATGTATGTACTTATTCATTGCTCACCTTTTTGCAAGCAAAGGGTCTCTACATGCAACACATGTTCATTTCCGGCAGCTCGCAGGTTCAGGATGACAGCGCCAGCTCTGATGGTTCTGGCTGTGAAAGCACAGATGAAGGACCAAAGGGCAATGCAGGCACTGAAAAAAACAGTTCAAAGAATGCAGGCAAGACTGCCGCAAAAAGCAAAGGCTCAACTGTTGAGGTTGCAAAGGCTCCAAAGAGTTCCAAGACGTCCAAGACTGAGAAGAAGAAGAAGAAGGACCAGGAGCCAGATAAAGAAAGAGTAAAGACGACCAAGGGCAGCAAGGACAAAGAGAGGAAAGAGGAGTCTGAAAAGGAGGCTTCTGATGATGAAGAGGAAGAAAGCGTCTCTTCTGAGTCAGAAGCAGAGGAGGCCCACCGGAATCAGCCTGACAGTTTCGTGCAGAATGCCAGTTACCCCAAAACAGATGTTCGGAGGTGGACAGTAAAGGGACCAATCTGGCCTTACCTTGCCCGAAAGGAGAAGGAAGAAGAAGAATTCGAAAGTGAGGACAGCGGCTCAGAGAAATCTGATGCCGAAGAGCAATCCGAAGATGATCAAGAGGAGAAAGATGAGGGAGATGAGGGAGATGAGGGAGATGAGAACGACAAGGATGAATCTGAGGAGTCCAAGAGCGGATCTGAGAGTTCTGAAGACGAGGAGAGTGAAAGCGAAGACAAAGATGACAATGTAGATGTAGAGAGTGAGGAGGAGAAGGAGCCGCCCCAGACCAAGGGAAGTAAGAAGGCAGAGAAGAAAACAACAAAGAAAGAAGATGAGAGCAAGACCAAGGTCACGAAGCAGAAGCAGAGAGGTGAGAAGGAGCCAACGACAGAGAAGAAAGATGAGAACGCAGGGAATGCAAAGGGCAAGCCACAGAAGGCAAAAGGCAAGTCAGAGAAGAAGACAGATGAGGAGCCAGAGAAGACGACCAAGACAGAAGACGGCCGGAAGAAGAGAAAACAAGAAACCTCAGAGAGTGGTGCTTCTTCTGACAAGGTCCAAAAGAAAGCAAAAGGACCTAGCTCGGAGAACTTGGAGAAGGTGAAGAAGGTGCAGAAGGTGGAGAAGGAAGCGGGAAAGACAACGAAGGAGCAGGGTGAAGACACAGGCCGGCAGGCCAAAAAGAAGAGAAAAGCTGAGAAGGAGGATGCAGAGAGACATGAAAAGAAGATAAAGGACCAGGCGGGTTTGGCCATTGTGGCCACTGACCAGCCCACAAGCATCATCAAGAAGCAAGTTGGAGAGAAGCCCGCAGAAGATGAAGGATCAGAGGTCGAGAAGAAACTTGCTGATGCGGAGAAAAACATGAAGATCAACAGCACCACGCACAGAAAGATGTGGATGAAATTTCTGAGGTTCCGAAAAAACAAAAAAAAGATGCGACTGTGCCCTTCCCAAATGGTGGCTGCCTTGCAGTCTGAGGCCAGGGATGTTGTCAACCACTGAGTCAACCACACACATCATATAGCCACATAAACATGTATGTATGTATGTGTGTATGTGTGTATGTATGTATGTATGTATGTATGTAATCTAATCTAATCTAATCTAATCTACTCTACTCTACTCTATCTATCTATCTATCTATGGAGGGAGGTAGGTAGGTAGGTAGGTACAATGTGGTGATCATGATGATGATGATGATGATGATGGATGATGGATGATGGTGGATGATGATGGATGATGATGGATGATGAAAAACTAGAGCTCTATCCATAAACAAATGCATGTTTAGAGATCCAGGTTTGCCCATCGGGACAGCCATTCCTCGCCCACATGCCCTAACAATTTTCCTGTTAGTTTGGCACCCCAAAATCTGACCCCCACAACCAACTAAACATGTAGCAAACCTGTAGGAAAAAGTTTACTGAGGGTAGAGTTGTGGGGGTCAGATTTTGGGGTGCCAAACAAGCAGGAAAATTAGAAACATGCCCCAAGTACAGTATCCAAAAAAAAGACCATTGTGGCCCCCTATACATGTGAACAAGATTGAAAAAGGGCCCTCATCATGGTGATAGCTATGTTTTTTATGAGTTCATACCTCTGTCAAGTGTTTTCTTGTTAGTCGCCTATACCACAGGACCAAAGACAGAAGATCTTTGCAGACTTTGTCAAGGTGGGTGGGAACGTGGAACACCTAGTGCTCAAGTACGAAGCAGGCCTCACCGAGTCCCAGGCTTCCAATATCAAGTGGGGGTTCAGACCCGAAAAGTGGCTAGAGGATCGACATGGTGCCAAGAAGGCAAAAAAGTTGATAAATCGAAAGCTGTCTTTGGGTTTGCTCCCTGGTTGCACCATGCATCTGTCGGTCCAGCCTCAAAGGGTGACAATTTGGAAACTTTCTGCAGCATGTGTAAATGGCCTCGGCAGCCCAGGTGGATCCAAGATCCTGAACTCCCGGATGATGAAGAGGAGAAGCTGTTCTTCACCATGATCAATTTGGACATGTCCAATATCACCGAAGTGCGGCGTCTTACAAAGCTTGAGATGGAGGGATGTATCAACCAAGCTGGCTTGGACGAGTTCGTGAAGGCATTCCCAATTTCACACATTAAGTCTATAAAATGTCGATGAGATAATGCATCTTCAGCACAGACTAATTGGAAAAACTATTATGTATATATTTGTTTTACAATCGAGCAGTGTTCAGGACCCTATTCAATCATATTGGTTGACCGGGAAATGGATTATATGATAATCCCACAAGAAAAAGTGGCTAGTATCATCCCCTTTAACCATCAACAAACCAGGATGCTCACTTCTACTTTCCGGGGTTGTCTCCATCTGCTTTACCAGGCTGGTGGAGTCTTGGATCCCAATGCCCAGCTGAAGTTGTCTGACTTCACAGGGAAAGGTGGCTGTGAAAAGTTGGCAAGTGCCATGGGTTCTCTGCAACAGCCAAAGACGGGGAAGGGTCAGAGAAGGAATCAACAGCAACAAGGTGAACCAACTAAGGCCAGCGGTTTTCAACTTTCCATGTTTATGTTCAACAAACATCAATTCCCAATGTTTCCATTAATTTCCCCATCAATTCCCGATATCTCATGTTCAACAAACATCAATTCCCAATGTTTCCATTAATTTCCCCATCAATTCCCGATATCTCATGTTCAACAAACATCAATTCCCAATGTTTCCATTAATTCCCCCATCAATTCCCGATATCTCATTACCATGCAGGTTGAACCACAGACCCCGTTGCAGAAAGCCCAGCAGCTGGTGAACAAAGTTCTCAAGGACGTCAATGATTGCCGGATTCACGGCATTATATATGTTAATATAAGATTATAAAACTGGTTATGTATATATATATATAGATATACATAATATACATATACACATGCACATACATATGGTAATTGTGAGTAAACATACATATCATTATGTGTCAAAAAGAGCATGTGTAATCTCAAATGCCAATTCTCTAAACTCTAGACCTCCTCCTGTTCCATGCGGTGACTCTGAGGAACGCGGCATTCAAGCTGAAGCCGATCAAGATGTCATCGGACCTCATCAACCAACTCAGTGCAGTGGCTGTCAAGTTGGAGGAGTGCGCCACGGCATTGCAGGACTTGATCGGAAAAAAGAAGTCAAAGACGAAGCACTATGTGGGGGTCATCACTGAGGCAACCTTTTTCTAAAAGGAATTTTGAAGTCAGTCTGAATGGAGTTGCATGCTTCGTAAAATTTACTACAAGTCTGCATGATGTGAACACATGAGCACTCCTGATACATTTACAATGTGTTTCCATCTTTCACAGGTGAACAAGTACACCGAAATGGCTCGTGAGAGGTTGGAGCTGTCAAAGGCACTTTTGAGGGCCAGCGACAAAGCTAGGTCCACTCCCAAGGCCAAGGCTGCCCCAAAGGCGGCACCATCAGCTGCAGGATCAGCCAAGCCTCGCAACAATTAGCTTGGATCTTGGGCTGGATGGCCAAATTTCAAAGCTGCTAAGCCGGGTGGATGCCTATTTCAAGTGCTGGGGTATCAGCTTTAGAGCGGAGGCTGCAGGACCAAATCTTAATAAAACATTTCAATTTGATTTGACTTCCTTCCTTGATGATTTTGTTGCTAAGCTAACCGAATGTCAGAAAACATTGTTTTCATCAGGGGATGGTTTGCGAATGTGGCCTCTGCATAGCTGGGCATTTGTTTTGAGGGCGCGAGGAGAGTTTCAACAAAGGGTTTACCCAGGATCAGAATGATCGTTCGCTGCGACATTGGTGTGAACACCAATCTTGAAATCACTGTGCTTGGAAAAGGCTACTCAGGTTTAGAGTTGTGAGTTTGGCAATAAGGCTCATTTGGATCAAAGCAAAAAACCTGGTTTCTCCACCAGTCCCGCGCAGGTCAAGGTCCAGGGGCCTGACAATCAGACGCAGAGGACCATGGCGTGACCTGGGGCCAGACGTCCCATCTCGACCCATTTGTATCGATCGATACCCATCTATATCCAGCTATATCCAGATGTATCTCTATCTACCTATAGCCACAATGTATATATATATATATACAGGTATTTTTAAACCTATATTTTTATTTAATATATGTCGCTGAATTATTAATGTTTATATCAACCTATATCTATCTTTCAAAACGATCTTCTATCCAATCTCCCAATCTATCAATATTGCAACCTGTCAAACTGTCAATCTACCAGACAGTTTTTTCATTTATTTGTGCATATATATATATAGAGTTATATCTGTATATGTATCGTCCATCTATCTATATCTATCCATCTTTAGTCTCATATCTATCGATATCCATATATATATATATATATATATTTCTTTACAAGCCTTTACCTACCAGTACCAGTGTGGATTATTTTGTTTGATCAGTCTATGCGAATGCACTTCAACATCCCTACCCAGTCAGCCTGTCTACTTGTAAATCTTTACATGGCATAGCAAATCAGATAATGCATCATTGTTTCAATCCCTAGCCACTGCATTACCCATCTCTCTACTTGTAAATCTTTACATGGCATAGCAAATCAGATAATGCATCATTGTTTCAATCCCTAGCCACTGCATTACCCATCTCTAAACTTGTATCAAGTTAAGTTCAGGCTTCATTCCTGCTCTTCCAGGACAAAGCAAGAAAAGAAGACGTGATGAAAATGGCCCTCAAGGCATGCCCCAGCGGGCTTCAAAAAGTTGGTCAGTAGATAATAAATGGTTGTTACCAAACATCCAATGGGTTTCAGTACCAGGATCAACTTAGACAATGATTTCACTATTATATATATATACATATATATATATTCTCCACGGTCTCATTCAGCAGCCTTCCCACACCGAGCCGCATGCAGGTGCAAAGATTGTATCTGGCGGCAGTGGCACCGCCAAAAGGATCTTCTACAAAATGTGCAGTGGGGTGCCAACTTGGGGCCGAAATTTACCACCAAAGTCTATGTTTGGGATTCCCTAACCATTGAAAGGGTATTGCTTTCAATAATCACACGCGGGTCCCAAAAATGGTGCCACATACCAAATAATGTGTTTTGAAGTAACCATGTTTGGGATGCCCCAAATTCAAAACTATCCTTTTGTTTTTTAGGGTTTATTAGGAAGATCCCCTGGACAGGAAACATCGGTGAGAGATGGGGTGGCAGCCGCAAGGCAACTGGTTAATGATGGTTTCAGTTGTTCTCTTAGCAGCGCTTTGGCATCTTTCTCTGCTTCCCACGAGGAGCGTTCTTTCCAAAAGAAACTTCTTTTCAATTCAGGACGCATTTTATTTTGGAATCTGAAATGTTAGCATATACAACCCCATTGTCCACTGTTTGACCTTGGGAGCCGTACACATCCAAGGTGGTGCCGTGACAATTGCAAGATCCAGCCTGATCGGGTGCAGCTGTACAACCGGATGAATGGCGTGCTGTGGCCATGGGATGTTCTGGCCAATATGTGGGACAGCCCCGGTCATGTTGATTTTTTCAGTTGGATTCACGACCCTGTAGGGGAAGCAAGTCATCGTTGTGCAGAGTACTGGAACCGAGTTTCAGACCTTCCATTTTACAAGAAACTGGACATCAAGGATCCCAACAAAACAATACCATTGTCGTGGCACATGGACGGCGTGAAGGTTTACAAAACACACAAAGTTTGGGCCTATAGCCATTCGAGTGCAATCAGAAAAGGTCCATCTATCGACACCAAATCCCTTTTTCTTCTCTTTCGGGACAGTGATATGGTCAAGCCACACACGCACGATGCTGTTGCAAAGCTCATAGCTTACACTATGGATGTTCTGCAGTCAGGGGTTTTCCCATACAACGATTGTGAAGGAAATCCATTCCCACCAACTTCAAAACAAGCCCAAAGGGCAGGGTCTTACTTTGCTGGGGGTTGGTGCGCTGCATTCGCATGTTTCAAAGCCGATTTAGAGGGGCGAGTCCTGGCCCACAAATTGGCCCGGAACTGGGCGTCGGACTCCATATGTGAGCATTGCCTGGCCAGCAAGTTGCCTGAGTTCTCATACGGAGACTTCACTGATGCAGCGGCATATTGGGAGTGCATGTTTACCCACGACCAATTTTTGATGTTAAATCCCCCTGGGAGGACGTCAGAATGGGTCAATGTTCGGGGTTGGGACATCACTCGCAATTTGGATGAGCCTTGTCATTGCTTCTGATTTTTTGGTTTTGTTTTTCTTTTGATGCAAACGTAATTTTACCAAACAGATTATTTGGGTATGTTTGGGTTAATGTTCAAATATGTTTATATATATATGTATATATATATGTAAATATATATATGGGTTCATCTTCACATCAAAGTTTGGAAGTGTAGACTATAATCACAAACTGTTGGGTGGTAAATCCTTTTGTCAACATTTGTTTTGGCCTTTGTGTCTTGCTGTTGCAGGATATGCTACATACAGTCCATCAAGGTATAGCTCTTCATACAATCGCTGCATTGGTGACCCATCACTATGAAGAGGCATGCCCTGGGATAACTCTGGCACAGCTCAATGAAAAACTGACCTCTGAGGCATGGCCACACTACCGAAATTGGTGCAAAGGGAAATCGGTTGTTTGCCCAACAAGTTCACCTTTTACAACCACACGCTTTGGCAGAGAAAACTGGCAGTCTTTTCCGGAACTGGCATCATGCTACAAGGGCGCAATGGTGAAATATATGATTTTTTGGGTAGCGGAGTTTCTCAAGGAGAAGCTCAGTGAAGTTGATACAGAAAAAGCTGTTTGAGAGCATACTGTGCTTGGAGTTTGTATCAATTTCAGTACTTGCAGGAAACGAATGGCCCATGGCTAGCCCCTGATGTTGCAGCAGAGATGGCACATGCGGGCCGAACTTTCTTGCTTTTTTACCAAAAGTTGGCAGTGGAATCTAGGGCTGCCTGCCCAGACAAAAAAATGTACAAACTTGTCCCAAAGTTCCATTGCTTCCTTCACTTGTGCATTTTCACGCAGGTGACGTGTCGGAATCCCCGATATGACCACCTGTATATGGAAGAGGATTTCATGAAACACGTGGGACGGATATGCAGCAAATGCCATCCATCCACATTAGACATGGTAAGTTTGTATCGCTACCGGGCTTTGATCGAACTCGCCGCCAAAGAAAAACTGGGATCCCGAGCACTGAGGGGTAGAGGCGGACATCCATGGAGGAGAATCTAAAGTGACAATTCACCATCTACTGACAAAATGTTCTGTCCAATAGCAGTTCCTTTTCTCTTTACAAGGTGTGAAGATGGGTTAGAATGTAGGTCATACCCATGGAATATGTTTCCAGTATGTTGTTTTGAGATACAATGAAAAACTACATGAACGGTCACGGCGGGCCCTTTGCTCTACAGTTTCGAAGCGGCGAGGACGCTCTGTCACATCTTTGGCTCGTCTGAAAATATGGCACACCAAATTCCCATGGTTAAATTATTATGGTTACATTGCCATGCCCTGGTATACGTGGGAATGAGAGTGCCCCATTTTCAGACGCAGCCACCTTCAGAAACCTTCGGATATCCAGTTGGGTGGATGGTTTTGTTGTGGTGTATTATATAGATGGGCTTTAAAATCACCAAACTATCAAATATAAGCAACAATTTTCCAGGATATTTCTCTTAGAACTATACGTACATATATGGGCACAAGTGCCCTTGTTCCCATTTGTTCTATATGTAGTTTTTACGCTTATATATCTTTTGGAATATGTTGTTTGAAGAGGTGGTCACGCAGGGAGACAACACCAAACAAAGGTTTGTTCGTTCTGTTTGTGTGCTCATCAAATTTATTGGTTTACATCACCCCAAACAAGAATACATGTACATACCAAGTATTAAAACCTCATTAGTCGTGTTTTGTATTTGATTTCTAATAATAATCCCAAACAAGAAGTTTTTTGGGGGTTCACATCCGAAGCAATGTGCAGTCCTTAGGTTTAAGTTGGCGATTTGTTACTGATTATTGGGTTAAGATCACAAACATGAATTCTGAAACCCATACTGTGATTCCTTTTTACTGGGCTAGCACCCCAAACAATACATGCTATTGAACTTACATATTTTAGGGTTTATAGACGCTAAAACTGACCATGGGGATAACGGAAAACCTCCAAATTTGTGGTGGGCAGACAACGGAAAGGACAACCCACCTATTTTTTTAATGTTGGTGCAGTGGTGCATCTAGCCTTGTATGGTACCATATATGGTAGCACTATCCTGGTTTGTGTTTTTGGAGTTCCTCACAATCGTACTATGTCCAAACAAATCCTTTACTGACCAACTTTGATAATATCAAGGCTCAAGCCGCTGGCTTTGTAGCAACACTAATCTTTTTGATCATTGAGATCGCAAAATATCTTCAATACTGACATCTCAAAGGCTCTTGTGACAAGCTGAATGCATGTCCAACATCCAACAGGGCGTCATGGGAGTACAGCA